TGAGCCAAAGTTGGGCCCTTAACTTACTGAGCCACCCAGGCACCCCGAGAAAAAAATTTTTAAATATTACATGCTCCCTTCAGTCAGGTGGTAAACCTGTATGAAAGCTTCCCCTTCCCCAGTGAGCCAGAAAAGGAGGGAAATCTTGGCCTGAATCTAGAGGTTATCACAAAATAGACAGAGAAGTAAGATCGTTTAGAACACCCGCAAGAGAAAAAGAACAATTAGATGCCATGGCGTTGATCCAGATGAGAAATGTTCCCATTTCTGCACACTAATAGAAATCTCTCGACTTTCTATGAAGTTCTTTATACCCCAAACTTCTGAAACGTATCTCCTCTGCCACATAGTTCTCTTTCTAGAACCCCTTCTCAAATCAGCAGCTTAGAACTATAAGAAGGTTGATTCCACTTCTGGCGGAAGACAGAGCCAAGGGGTGACGGCTAGTTGCAGCCCAACTTGGAATTCTTTCGCCGTTTGCAGAGTCACATTTTCTTATACACAGTGATAAAGTTTCACAGTACCATTAATACAGAATTCCATTTCATTAAGAGTTACATCGGCTTTTGAGTGTATGTAAATATACATGTATATGTGTCTATGTATGTATATGTATATATTCTTCTGTGGGAAAATATATTCAAAGTTTCAAATAATTGTTTTCCAAATATATTTTTGGAGCACAGTATATATACAAGTTGAAATTGCTTGTTTTAAATTTTGAAGCTAACGCATAAATTTAATCAACCAATCGTGTTTTCTACATTTTCTCTTGTTCATGATCATTGCTAACCTTCCTCTGTTACTTTTGCCACTGTGTTTATTTTAAGGGCAGGCAAATGCTGTATATTTAGAGGCAGTCCTGTTATTTGGTAATTTTTTGATAATGTTTAGATAAATATGAAATTGGACCTTAAATTTGAACTATTTATTTTAAGTAACATGGCCCCTAGATTGAAAGAAAAGATAGTGGACATCTTCAGAAAAAGAGACTGGAGGGGTGCCTGGGCAGCTCAGTCAGTTAAACATCTGACTCTTGACTTCAGCTAAGGTCATGGTCTCATAGTTCGTGGGTTCGAGCCCAGTGTCGAGCTCGGTGCTGACAGTGCAGTGCCTACTTGAGATTCTGTCTCCCTCTCTCTCTGCCCCTCCCCCTCTTGCTCTCTATCTCTCACTCAAAATAAATTAAAATAATAAACTTTGAAAAGAAAAGAAAGAAAAGAAAAGAAAAGAAAAGAAAAGAAAAGAAAAGAAAAGAAAA